TTGTGCACATCTCAACTCATTATATATGATATGTATTAGACCCTCCCCCGCTTGCCCAATACCCTATTACTGCAGACCTAGTGGTGACACTTTAGGGCTGTTCAGTTGAATACCAATTTGCTGGTGAGTGTATTGGTGGCTTGTTTGTTCCATTTTGGAAACTCCACTTAAATAGTAGTGGTTCAAGCTGCGGTAAGCCAAAATGAGAGAGGGTAGTATCACCATGGTTTCTTGAGAGCTGAAGTAGACTCCAGGTAACATTAGACCACATTTGATAATCCGATTCTGTGGAGTTGGATGCAGTGGCTGTGTCCAAGCGTGGGCAATAGAGAGTGTTGCGTGCCAGTAACATTCAAGGCAGGTGTCTTTTTTGTAGAGTGTCAGAGAGGCGAGAGAGGGATGGAGCAGAGAAGTAGATTCACTGTATCGCTAATCGTCGGCAGTATCTTCCACAGAGTTAATAATTTGCAGTCCACCGCAGCGAGTGTAGGAGATATAGAATTTTTAATTTCCATCTTGATTTCTTCATTTGAGTGAAGTAATCATTAGTAGGAAGGTGGTTGAATTTCACGTTTTTGTGTAGAAATGGAGTTGCTGAGAGCGAGCGATTCCAGCGAGCGTGGTTAAGGACATGTGATGATTTCTATTTTTTAAATTCTTGAGATTGACTTTGTAGAAGCGCGAGGAGAGAGCGAGAGCTTAGAGAATTCCCGTGAGCTGATGAGAAGACTGTATATTCAGATTTTGGGTAAATGTTCCTGTAGATTCGAGTCAGACCCGATTGTGCCGAGTGAGAGCGATTAGGTTCTTTATTAATTCTTGTTGAGGGTCTATTCGGTGCCATCGAGAGGTGTTGAAAGGCGGCGAATGTGACATAGAGTTTTCGCTATTAATCCTTTTGCTTAGATCAGTAAGTTTGCCTCGCAATTATCATTATTGTTAATGATAGAAGACTGTGAGAATCCTAAGTTATGTGTTGTCACAGGACTGAGTAGATTTTATAATATTATACTAGCAACTATCTCTTCTTTGGATTGTAATGTTAAGTTCCCTTTACAAACATTCAATAGTGTATAAGACCCTCTTTGGTTTTTCATCCTAACTTGTTGTTGCTTTAAGAATACTAAATCGTCTGAAATTATAATAGAACACCTGCACGCCAAACCTGTTGCTATCCACTTGCCTGGAATGAGCTGTCTCCACTACTGAAATTAACTAATTAGTCTTATGATCCTGCAGGTAGATGTTTTTCTGAAACAGCATGATACTTGCCTGATGTATCCATTGATGCCAGCCCATGTCTCTGAGTGTCTAGAGGGTGAGATGGCAAGTGTGAGTGTTAGGATAATGTGCTGTTAATGATCCTGTGAAGCAGAATATACCTGTTAAACAGCTTTGCATTTGTGTGTACTAAGGAGTATACCGTGGAAATGTAGACAGGGTGAAACATCAGAGTGCAGTGGACGGTGAAGAATGAGAGAAATCGGGGGAACAGGAAGAGGAGAAGCATTTGAAGGAAAAGAGATTGGAGGTGGGACTGGATTGTTGTTTGTTTGTTTATGTAAGGAGGATAAATGATGGGAATGGAACTCCTGTGCAGAGAGATGAGTGGGGAGTGATTTTTGAGTGGGTAATCTGTTTTGCTAATAAAGTAGAAGAGAAAGAGTGGTGGTCTTTATTGGAAGAAGAATGGAAGAGAAGAAGCAGAAGAACTTCTGATCTTCAATATTTTTTTGATCGCAGTGTGTGGAGGAATAATGAAGTTAGAGGTATCTGTTTAGTTGAGGTAAAAAATTTTCTCTTGGGAAGCGGAAGCTGATGATTTGAACGGAAGTGAATGTTGAGTGTATTTATTTTGGGGAAGTATAGTTTTTGTATTTATGTATTGTTCAGGTTAAGTCGTTTTAAATGAATCAAGATGAGTGTGATTTAGTAGTTGTTGTTATGCAAATCCTGATAAGTCATACATTTATTCAAATAAAGAATGAGTTTAAGGACACAATTTTTATATTTGAATTTAATTTTTTTTAAGTTATTTCAGTGAGGACAATCAGTGTTCAACTTATGCAATTGTTAAGATTTACATGTATCTGAATCTAATAGATTAATGAGTCTCATCGTGCCTCTACTGCTTAGAACCTATATCAAATTTTTTTCATGAGACTTTGCCAATGGCGACTGTTGAGGTGTTGGAAGAAGTCAAAGCCATTCACATCTTTCGAGAGAATGATGTGTCTAGTAAGTATGAATGTATGTCTAGTGGATTACGTTTTGGTTGGATATTGTGCTTATTATTAATCTCCGGACCATTGTGTCAGTAGGTATGTACTGCCTTTATATCTAAGTTGTGATTATTAGTTAGTTTCTCCTATTTACTGAGTGCTGAGCTATGATTTTATAGGGTAATATCGTAGTTGGAGTGTTTCCTATTATATGCATCGATGCAAAATTAGTTGTAGTATATTGATTGAACTTGGAGTAAT